GTGTGTGTGTGTGTGTGTGTGTGTGTGTGTGTGTGTGTGTGTGTGTGAGGGAGAGAGAGGAGATTTGCGGTTTTACGCCGTTATGTTGCAGCCTTGCTCTGAATTTTCTGTGGTTGCGGCAGCGCTTCGTTTTTGTTTACAAAGTCATCAAGGCTGCGGTTTATTCAAAAAAACATCCAGTAATGAATCAATTCATTACCTGACTTTTCAAACTCCTCCAGTGTGCGTGCATGTGTGTGTGTGTGTGTGTGTGTGTGTGTGTTTGTGTGTGTGTGTGTGTGTGTGTGTGTGGACACTGTAAAGGAACATGTTGGAATCCTCCAAAATGCCTTTCTTTGCATCTGCTGCTCTTATAAACTCCCTTTTCACCGAGGAGACTGGAGATAATGTAATTGAAACTAGCAGTCTTTCCAGATTGAATATTGGCCTGAAACATGAAAATAAATACGGCAAGGCTCTGGGTTTTGTTAGGCTGCTGCATGCAACGAAGATGCCAACAATGTGTTCGAGGCGAAAAAGAACTTTCAATGAACAAACAATTCAATATAAACTTCGAAGTACACAAGTGCCGAAATGAAAACGCAAAGACTGATGTAACTGCGAGCTGTGTGACAGCATGAGCGAGCGGAGTGAAGAAAAACACGTCGTGAGATCTGAATTATGAGCTGCCGTCCGTGTTCGGGGCAATTTTTGAGCAATTGAGCAATCAAGTTTTTACATCCCGTTGGGGATGTAAAACACCTACTTCAGGAAAGAACATGTGTAACACTTTCTATTGCACTGATGTCTATAATTTATTAATAACATACTTGTAATACTTATACCATACTTTTAAAATCAAAGTGAATATTAAATTAAATAGATTTAAATATGTCTTTCACTTTACTCACTGCAAACAATGACTACTTGGAGTAACTTATAATCTCATTATAATTCATTATTACACTTACTATAATGCATTACAAACTATTATAATGTATTACAACTATGGGAATTATTATACACTATGATCCTTGCAAAATATTCGGTGAGAAACCAGCAATTATTAAGTATTATGATACTCACAAAGTCTTTTAAAAGAATGTATCTAGCTGTCCAAAAACGTTGCTCTTTAATGAAGCGCTTGCTGCTCGGAACCAGAAATGCCTTTAACAATAAGCACGTATTACTATTCTCCCCGCTAAGTATATCTTTTATATATCATAATTAAATAACATCTGTTGCCTAACAATTTCTTTTTCCCACTGATGAAATGTGATCTCCGGTTATTCAGGAGCATTTGTCTGACTGTGACCTGAACTGAACTCTGCGTGTCACATAATTATCAGGCTGGAACTAAGGTCTGTGTCCACGTGTATCACCGAGCGTATTGGATCGGTGATAAAGCACTAATTAGTGCTGAAAAGGACATTGATTGACCAACAAGGCCAGTTGATTAATGTCAGGCCTGAGTCGATGGAAACTGCAAACTGAAAGTATGCAGCGGCATCGGAAGTGTCGATGCTCTCTCGTCTTAGCTTTGAGGTGAAATTGCAAGTGACCGGCGATGGATGAATGATTTAGTATATTTCTGGTTATTTGTTGTCTGGACTCTTTAGAGTGCATTTTTTCCTTTAAGGTCACTGCTGTGGAGCTATACAGTCTCCCTTATACTAGATACTTTTTAATCTATGCAGTAGTTTACCTTTAGGTGTGGTTCAGGCTTCTGTTTGCCACACTAGCAACATATCTTTCCATTTGGTCATATCACAACAACGGATTGCCATTAATGGCAGGAATTCATGTTTGATGATCCTGACTTTTCCTCCAGCGCCACCATGAGGTTGACGTCTGTGATTTTTAGTGAAACGTCTCGACGACTATTGATTCAGAATGATTTGTAAAAACTTTGATGATCCGTTTCTATTCAGCACCATCATCAGGTCACAATGTTAATTTGTCCAATACTTTGGTTTTTGACCAAATATCTGCAAAACTAATGACCATTAGCCTCAGCTGTACTTTATGTGTGGTGCTAATACACACATATTAGCATGCTAACAGGCTAAATGTTACTGTACCTGCAACCTGAATTACCATTGTGAGCATGTTAGCATGCTGACTTTAGCATTTAGCACAGCTTTGCTGAAGTGTAGCCTCATAGTGTTTTTACCACATTACGATCACGACCACCAAGAAAAATGAATGTACTTATTTTTCATTGAGATTGTTTCTGCCGAAGCACAGTTGCCAGCATCTGGAAAATGTGACTTTTAGAAATGTATTTATGTTTCCATTTGTTGTGGTCAACGAACAGGAAACCAGCTTTGAGCTCGAAGCGTTTGGGACGAGCCTAATGAGATGTACCCAAACCTCCAAAAAATATGTGAAACTTGAAAGATTACTTTGTGATAAAAGACATTCAAAATACATTTTAGTGTCTTTTTATGTAAAAGGATTTTTAATTTTTTTAGTTTTGGTAAACTGCTCCTTTTATTGTGTACAATAGCACCTTGGGCACAGCACCGCAGTTCTGCGGTCTCGCGCAGGGTTTTATGCCATTCCCCAGCTTAATGTCAATGTGTAGAGTAACAGTTTATTATACCAAGCCACAGGCCACCTTAATTAACCACCAGGCTGCCTCATGTTAGCGTATTTGCACCACAACCAGCTCCATTTGTTCCCATTAAAAATGAATTTGTCAGACAATAAAAGCATGTTTGTTTAAAAAGACGCTGCTGTTCTCTGTATGTTTATTCTGTCTTCCGTTCTCCGGTGCTGTGTGGAAGTGAGTAAGTGGCTCCCGATATCTATTAATGACATCCATTTATTTTCTGTGAGAAAGGATTTATTTTACTGTCCTTGTGCAGACAGTCCTCCCTCTGCTGCTATCTGTGCTGTCATTTAACAACTATTACTATGTTTGTCTAAGGCCCCAAATGTTCAAGTTTGCTTTGGGCAACTTCTCTCTCTCTCTCACTCTCTCTCTCACTCTCTGTAACACCCTCCCCTTTCCTTCAACTGTTTTTCTCCAGTCTGCTTCCCAATTCAATTCCCAATTTCTTTGTATTCGTTGGTGTTGGTCTCGGGAGCTCACGCTGCAAAGAACATCTTTTCTTCTGGCATTTTCCTAATTGATACATGGCAGCCCGCGCTGTGGTCTAGCTGTACCCATATCTTCAATAATTCATAAACAGTTCTCTCAGAGGTAGTTCATCATGCTTTTATATAAAAGAAATACAGAAATTGATGGTGTTGTCTGCGGATATTTTACCCTTTTTTTCTAAAAACACGACGCCTTCGGTTCATCTTTCGACAGCCTTTGGCATATAGATGCAGCACAAGGGAGAGATATCAGTGAAAGATAGCAATGTTACTGCCTTTACTGTGTTTGGGCAAAAAGCCGAGAAGTATCCAGCTTGTGAGGTGTTTTATATAAGCTTAATCGATTATTATATGTACTGTTTTTAATGAAAATACTTATCAGTCACAAGTAGTGTATACAACAGAAACATCTAGGGAAGTATAACTGGTATATATAATATGAAACCTTGGAATTATTACTCACCATTAATGCCAGACTTGTCATCTCTCCTTGTAAAGCTAATGTTGTGAAACATGTTCGGGTTAAGAGCTATTCTCAATCAGGAAGACAGTTATTACAGCTATTAAAGCCACCATCCACTTTACGTAATCAAGGCAATTATACCTTAGCTGGAAGGCATACGACCATTCCCACCCACAGAGGGGGAGAGAGAAAATAGGCCATTTTGTCTCGCCGTTTGTTAACTCCCACATGTTTAATACAGGAAATATTGATGCTATTTCCACCAGATGACTGATGGACTTCTTTTTGTGATTGTATTTCTCTCTGTGTAGGATTGCTGCTCCAAGAGAGTTTCATTGAGGAGCCTGATGGCTTGGTGTCTGTAAACCTGCTGGTGGTGTCTGCTGTTTCAGCCTTCGCAACAGGAGCCATCCTCTCCGGCCTCACCGTCTGCTGGATCATGAGTCACCGCCACCGCCACTCACGAGGCTCCGGAGCCGGCGGCACCCGCCGCAAAAGTGACAAAGAGCAGAGCATGCTGGGGCAGGGCCGCAGCGGCTCAGTAATGAGCGTAACAAGAACCAGCGGCGGCGAGAGGCGTCGCTCACAGGTGGACAACCCCTTCGTCATGCCCAACGGCTGGTCTAAAGGAGAGATGGACCCGGGCCTGCTGCCCACCCCGGAGCAGACCCCGCTGCAGCAGAAACGGTCCATGCGTCTCCCAGACACCGACTGGGACCAGAGCCAGACCTTCCTCACTGCTGTGGGGACTCCCTGCCCCAACAACTCTGTCATCTACCTGAGCTCCAAGTTCCTGCATGGAGGTGGAGGGGGTGGAGGGATGGTCCGGATAGAGGACCCGGGGGAGGTCGTGCTGCCCCCGCACACAGAGCGCCAGCGCTACCTGATCCTAGCCACCCAGAGAGGGGAGCACGGTGGCGGTCGGCCCAGCGGCACCCTGAGGAACTCAGCGGGTGATTACATCTACCCCGCCACGCCGCAGGACTCCCCCGACCGACGGAGGGTGGTGTCCGCTCCCACGCCCCACATGGACTATGGGGAGCCTCGCTGGAGTCACGAGGCGCTCAACTACAACAGCAACAATGGAGTGTCCTATCACTCCCAGCGCCCGGGCCTCATCAGGCCAGATATGCACGGGCCTCGAGGGCTGGGAGAACTGGCTGACTTCAGCCATCTTCTAGGGAAGAACATGGGAGAGCGCACCCCCAGTGGCCAGTGAGGCAAAGTACGTGAGCCCTGGCACCAAGCTCTCTCTGAACACCCATTCCCTCCAACAGCAGACTGGAATAAATCAACCCCTCAGACTCACTGTCCCGGTCAAACCTTACCCTGTCTGTCCTCTCTCACTGTCATTCAATGTTCTGACGTCATTCAGCTGACTGAAGAGAGAGACAAAGAGACAGTTGAAAAAGAGGAGCAAACTCTCCTCACGTCTCCGCTCCTCTGCTCTTAATTATGAGGTGCACCCCTCTGCTCTGTAAGTGGTACAACCCGCAGAGCTTGACTTTGGCACCACAGGACAAACAGTAAGGTAAAGAGAGGGGTGCAAAGGAAAGGGAATCTTCTCAAAGGAGAGTGTGGAGATTTGGACAAAAAAAATGACAATTTCCCCTTGCAGCGCCAAATGTGAAAGGTCTCCCTCCACCATTTTGTTCACCGTTTTGACACCATGGTTCTTCTTTGAGTGTGAATTTTTGTTTCGGCTTTTGTTTTTTTTGTGCCAGTGGCATCCAGCAGACAACGATGTGCTTTACTTTGGATTTCAGATGAGACTAAAACTGTTGTAGCCGTGCCAGAGGGCAGTGACTCTCAACCAATCATGCAGTGTGTGTGTGTGTATGTGATTGTGTGTGTCTGTATGTGATTGTGTGTGAATGTGAGTGGCCACGACAACCCCAACCAGTGTCCTGTCTTAACTGTGAAGTATAACTATATAATGACATTTCTGTACGGAGGAGGTTGACGTTAACATTATTTTCCCTTTTTTATAAACAATCGCAGAGAGACAAATGGATTTTATTTTATGTCTCAGTGTGTTTACCAATCAGAGGTGTGAGTGGTTGGCTGGTGAAGGGGTGAGACATTATTTTGTGATTCCCAGTTACCTCAGAGACGGCGCTGGACAGAGCCATCATGAAGTGAAAGAAAGCAATAATGAAACGTATAAGGACGAAGAAAAAGCCAATTTAATTTGATGTTTTATGATATAATATGTTTTTCTCAACAAAGCAAAGTGAAGTTTAGAGATGACAGCAGGAGATGGGCGCTGAACAATATCTCACCTCCATTCTTCCCTCCCTAGCTGACTCTCAGTATGCCCGGGTCTGCCTGGCCTGACCTGAGGCCCCCATGGGCTCTGCAGTCCATTTGAAGGAGGGAATGTGAGCTGTGGCTGTCTGGCTGTCTGACTGGGGCTGTGGGGCCGTGAGGCCCGGCCGCTTGGGAGCTCCATTCAGCCTCTTCTGCCCGACACTGAGCCTCTTTGTGCCCCAGAAGCAGGAGGAGACTGCGGCAACAAATAGCCGTTAAGAGTCAGGGACCTAGTCCAGTACGCAGCCTCGCAGAATATCAATGAGGAGGACAGCAGCTCCATCCGTCATGTGAGATGTACCAAACAGGACCGGGCATCTCTTGTGCTTCGCCGACTCTGGTGGTTCACTGGTTTGCCAGGACAAGGGAGGAAGGCAGAGGGCTGAAACTAGGGGCTGAGGCCAGAGCTGGGGCACTGCTAGCTGTCACAATGGTCATCCCTTGTGGCTTTATCCCTTTCAGTGTGTTTCACAACAAAAGCCGGATAAAGAAAACAGATGGGCATGGGTGTACTTGGGTGTTGAGTTACTCTTTCAGTCCGTTGTCTGATCTTTTGATGTTTTCAGTTTTTTTTTTTGTCTGTTCCCAAACGTTCGTGATTCAAATGTAGATCCAGAGATAGCTTTAGTTCATCTGGGTCATGGTGTGTTAGAGGTGTCTGTCGGCTTGTGTGTATGTGTGAGTCTCTTTGGGTTTTGTGTCCATGAATGCGTTACTCATATTGAGTGCAAAAAACTGCTTTGATCAGTTGTGCTTTCGTTCTCACCCTTCCTCTTTTATTCCACCCCTGTTTCTTTCTCTATTGCGCCGTTAATGTTTTGCAGCGACCCTTTGCTTGACATTCTCAAATCCGGGTTAAAAGTGTCGGAGACCCACGTGGGAGTGTTTCTCACCATTATAAAGTACACAAAGAAGTATGGCTAAAATGGAGATGCTGTGCTTAAACACACACACACACAAGAAAATATCAGAATGTACAAATATAAGTGCAGGGTATTACTTCACATTTCTTTTGATACCCTTCAGTTTTTGTGACTAATTAGAAAATATGATTAAGACTTACATATTTTTCCACAAATCCCACAAATATTTTTCCATTTAAAGCAGCAATATGGAGCTTTATAGGGCGTTTAGCTCATTGTTTTTGTTTTCAAGAGCACAACCTCATTTTTATCACCCCTCTCATCAGTGTCGTTTTCAGCCTCAGCTAGCAGCTGTTTTTAGCAATAATGCACAAAAGATTAACAATACAATACCCAACACCAAACGGCAGAGAGACAGCTATGTTCCTCAATAGTTGGTGGAGACCAAAATCAAGCCAATCAAGTTTTATTTACAAAGCACCTTTCAAACTAATCAAATCAAAGGGTTTTATAATTGATTGATCAGATCAAAACAAGACAAAAATGCATAGAAGATAAAGAGACTAATTAAATAAAACAAAAGAATACAACAGTGAACGAATGAATCTTGGTAAAAACATATATAAAACATATAACATATAATAATATAAAAGTTATTACTCAAACCACAGCATTAGAACACATAAGACACTGTATAAAATCCGAGTTAATAAACCATAGAATTATAAAACACTACATAAGAGCCAGACTAAACAGATGGGGTTTTAGTTTCTGTTTAAAAATATCAATATTTTCAGCGATTCTCAGATCTTCTAGAAGGCAAAAAAAAGTTTAAATGATTGAATATTGAACTCTGCTTGAAAAGACAATATTCTTGTCAGTGTTGTCTTTAGAGATGGTTTCTGCTGCCAGCAAGTGGCCAAAATATCAGTTATTGATTGTTTATATGGCTTACAACTGAGGCTGGGTATTGTTTGAAATGTTTCAATACTAAGGTCAATACAATACACTTTTGTCGATACTAAACTTGGCGAAAATCCTATTTTCCATTTGACAGCAAAAGCTAAAGTGACACAAGCGGTCGCTCGAGAAACTTGAAAAATTGTGTAAATTTGTCAAAATTTCAATTTGAATCAAGGACTGTTCGATCACGAAAAAAGTAAACAAGATTGTAAATCAGACCAAATACCAGCTGACAGTTTTCACGACTCAGCGCCGCGGACACATTTTACTAAAACAGCATTGAGGTTCAGCACCCGGCCCTAAAAAACAAATTTAAAAAAATACACAGCCAGAGCTGGAGGTACTGCGTGAGACAAGCCAGTGAAAGAGATTTATGAAAGCAAGGACAGAGGAGGAGGTCAGGCGGGCGAACATGATGTTACTGCATTACCGCCTCAGCACATTAATCCAGTGTATTCTTTACACATTCCACCCTGAAACAGGTCATTAGTACTGAGGATGCGGAGCCCGGGCCCTCATCGCTGACTCTCTTTATCTCCCTCCGTCTCCATCTCTGCTGTGACCTGAGTGCTGCGTGTGTGTGTGCGTGTGTGTCTGTGTGTGTGTGTGTGTGTGTGTGTGTGTGTGTGTGTGTATGAATGAGGCCTCTCTGTCTCGGCCGGCTTGCCCAGCCAGCCATGTCCTCGCTCTGCATCTCCTACGGTGTTTCACTAAACATGCTTGATTAGGCAAAGTACATTCCCGAAACCCTCTAATGGCCTGATGAGCCCTTGAGATGATTACTACGGACACATCTGCCCTGAGAGGGAGGTGCACGTTTGACCAGCTCTTTACCCGTTTACTAACCACCCGCCTCACGCACTCACAGGCGCACGTACAAATACCGTCGTCCCTCTAACCAAATTCGGGATGCAATTGAATTAAGATCAGAAACAGAGCTCGGTTCTTGAAATAGGCCGACACTGACGGGTTCTAGGAAAGGTATGTACATGATGTTATCTTACTGACTGGATCATTTGATCAACATTACAGGGCAGCTAAGGAATTCAGGTGTAGCCTTGTGGAAGTCAGTCTGTTTATTAAAGCCATCATCCTCCCTTTTCCTAACATACTTCATGTCATTCCCATTCCTCCTCTTTCTACAGCTGCACTTTGTCTCCTTCTTTCAAAGCTCCGTTTTTATTAGCAGACTCACACTGCTGCATCTTTCTACACACACACACACACACAGATCTAATATCTCTACCCAATTTATGGCGAAGCTGCGCCTTCATCCTGTTTGTCACTATTAAAGGTTAGCTTGTTAATATAATGAGTCGGTGACAGAAACAGAAATCAAAGTAATTCACAAAATCTGGCTTTATTTCACATCAAATCCTTAATGTGTTTAAAAAAAATTAGACATTTTCAAACCCTCTCATGCAGTAAATTGCTTTCCTTTCCTTAGAATTTTTTTTTTTTGGAGTTCTTTTTTTGTTGACACATATTGCCTCCAGTCCTACACACACACACCCAGCCAGCCCTCATAACCCAGTCTGTCTGTGTTCTTATTTATCAGGTTGTGTCTGTGTGCTTGTTAAAGTGACCATGCCTTTGTGTGTTGGGGTTGTTTGTGCCCTCTGGCCCAGTGATGCGATGCCCCGCCCCCAGCCAATAACTGCCATCTTACCCTACAGCGCTCCACTGTGCTGTACATGGTCTATGCCCCAGAAAGAGTCCAGAAACGGAGGCTAACTTTGACTAAATCCACAATCGCACTTGAGAGTAGTGACATGAAACTGCTCCCTTCCGAGCCAACGTACGAGAGGGAGAGAAAAAAGCACAAAAACAAGGCGTTTGCATTCGCATTTTCGTAAAGTTGTAGATGTATTTAGTCAGCACATCCTTTCTGTCATGTTTGTTGTTTTCTATAGTTTGTTTCTGTGGTAGATATTTGGTTTGTAATGATATGGAATATTATTGTATATGATTTAAATTTCTCTGGTGTGCCGGATTTGATGACGACAATGAAGATGAACCCGAAGACTATCATGATTATTATCGTATTGACAGTGACAATGAAGCAGTACTGTGAGCAGCACTGAGGTGTTGTGATTCCTCGTTGGATGCTGAATCTGAAAGGAAATGGAAGAGTAAGAGGAGGAGTGAATGAACTCATACAGACTTACGTTCTCCTGCGAAGCGGATTCTCCTGCTACTGTGAAGGACCCCGTTGTCCTGTGGCCCCCCACCAGAGGCTGACTCCCCCCCCATTGCCCCTAGGGCCCTCGGGGTCACGCCGTCATCCGATGACAACACATGTCCCTACTACGTGTACATAACCTTGAAGCTTACATGTAATTTAAGTGCAGTAGCTGCATGACGACACAGCCTCTGTGTGTGTACAGAAGTAGCGGCGTGTGAATTTGTACAGTACATGCAAGTGTGTGTGTGTGTGTGTGTGTGTGTGTGCTTGTGTCCGCGAAGAAATCTGTCTGTCGTCACGCAAAACGAAACACGTGCATGCACCCTCCGACAACTGCCCAGTACACACATCCCCTCTACACACACGCTACACACACACACACGCCAACACACTCCAGCAACTGTTCACCATTCTCCACATTGTCCTGAGCTCTGCCTGTCACTCCGCATGGAGACTTTGCTCTATGTCAACTTTCTTATTCTAATA